CCCCACCCGGAAGAAAAAAAAAAAAAAAAAAAAGACAGGATAAGGAAAGAAATGAGCTGAACAGTCTTCACTACTTTCCCCAATGCCTGAGCTGTAAACAGCAAGGGATCTAGTAGTCAAGAACAAAGGAGCTAGTAAGAGACTAAAAGCTAAAAAAGCTAAGCAGAGATTCCAGTAGTCTCACAGTGCTGAGGACACCAAAACAACATAAACACCCCAAATTTTAAAGAAATCTAGACTTGAGGGCCTGCCAAAAGAGAGGAGCCCTGGTGAATATTCAGGATTTTGGTTGAGTCTCTTGAAGGGTTATGCACTAAGACAAGGGAAAAACTAAGACAAGGGCCAGTCTTCTACAAACACTGAAACTTGGCCTAGAACCACCTCAGTCCTAGACTGGATCAAAGTGATAGAGGTATCACTCTCCAACAGCTCACCAAAAAAGCTCTGAGAGAGAGAGCATCATCCTTAGCTACACACACTATATACAGCACCAACCAAAAGTTACCAGGCATACAGAGGAGGGGACAAAATTATTGATTAATAGGCCAAAAAAAACCAGAAGTCAAGACTGAGGATTATAGGAAAGGACCAGAATACATACAAAAGAATGAACTAAAAATTCTTGAATTGAAAAAATACAGTAGCTGAGTTATGGAGGCTTTATAAGGTCTAAGCAACAAGTTAGTTAAAGTAGGAAAAAGATTAGTAAACTGAAAGATCAGTAAAAAATGTTAACACTAAAGTTTTTTTAAAGGAATATAAAAAAACCCAACTGATCAGATGTAACAGATAAGCCAGAAGGGTTTAGTACCTTGCAACTGAAGTCCCAGAGGAAGGCAGAAGACTGGCTGAAGCAGGATTTTTAGCCTCTAGCCAAGGGATTTCAAAACTGCTAAGAGATTCTAGTCATGCAATCATGAAGCCCTGTAAAGCCCCAAAAGGATACATGTAACAAGAACAACAAAACTAAGAAGTTTGAATGTGTCCTATCACAAATTGCTGAAAAGCTAAGACAAAAATCTGTAAAAAGACACAGGCATGGTGGCCCATGCCTGTAAAGCTAGGTGAGACTGGGAGGCTGAGACAGGAGGATCACAACTTGAAGCCCAGCCTGGAAAGTCAGTGACTTAGCGAGATCCTGTCTCAAAATAAAAGCTAAAAAATAAGGGTGCATATCAGTGTGAAGGCAATGATTTCAATCTCTAGTACTGGGGGTAGGGGGGACACTTTACCTTCTCTTTAGTAAGGTTGGCAGCTGACATTTCAACAGAAAGGAAGCAAGGAAATGACATCTGTCACATACCAACAATAAATAAATAACTGGTAACTTAGAATTCTACCCTTAAAGGGGAGGAAAAAAACCTTCAAAAATCATTGTGAAATAAAGATGTTCTCTAGCAAGCAAATTCAGAGAGGACAGGTTTCCAGTAGACTGGCACTAAAAGAAATACAAACAGGAACTCTTCAGGCTGCAGGAAAAATATTTTAGAAAGAATATAAAACACACACAAAAAATGAACGGACAAAACAACAGTATTCCTTAAGGGTAAATAATTCCTATTAAAGAATACTAATTTTACTAAACTATAATAGAAAATGTTTTATCAATCTTAAAATATTTGGAAAATTAAAATAATGGCGATAGTAAAGAAAAAAAAATGATGTTAAGTTAGTGGTCTAAGGTTCCTGCATCATAAAGCATTAATTTTTGAATTTGTGTAATAATATAGCAGCAAGTGAAAGAATAATTTTAAAACTACAGCAATCTAATAAAGGAAGCAAAAATATGGAATTCTTAAAACTATGAGTAATTCAAAGACTATAAGGAGAACAGAGAAGCAAAAAATAGATAAGACAAATACAAAATAAAATTTAAATCTAATCTCAAAAGTACAAATAATTACTTAAATATAAATAGTCGAAAATATGACAAAAGATAGAGGTGGGGGTGGGATACACAACCTAATTTATGAAAGACACAAATATAGAAATAGAGAAAAAGCAAAAGGATAGGAAAAGATATATGATGTACAATCCAACCAACATTCCAACATAGCTATCTATTCAAAGTCTTTAAAGTAGGAAATATCACCAGAAATTTGGAAATGTTAGAATAATCAATCTACTAAGTAGATATAACAATCCCTAATTTTTATGTGATATTAGTCTGCATTCACATACAGCAAAATCTAAAAGAAAATGACAAACAGGCAAACCCATAAAACCCTACTGGGAGATTGATACAGTAACTGAAAAAATAAACAAAAATTAATAGCTACAAAAGAATAACATGTTTAAAAACTCAAACTTGTGTGCACAAATCATTGGTATCCAACAAAGGAAGAATACATAGTACTTTCAAATACATATGGAATACTTACCCAAATTGACAATATATAAGGCAAAACTCAACATGTATCAAATAAATAAAATCATAAAAGACCATTTGGTCTTAGTACAGCTAAGAAATCAATCAAAATACTAGTATAAGTAATCACACTTGTTTAACCCAAGTCAAAGAAATTATAGTGGAAGCAAAGCATTTTTACCTGAATGATTGTAAAAATGTGACATCAAAAATTGTACAATGTGGCTTCAACCATAATAACTAGAAGAAAATGTAGGGTTTACATACATGTATTAGGAGAAAGCTGAAAAATCAACATTCTTGTAAGTATATACCACAAGGGGGGAAAACAGTAAATTAAACCCAAAGCAAGTACTACAGAAAAGACAGTAACTTTAGAAGTATACTAGAGAAAGTTTTGTATAATCACAGTTCATTCTTTGAGAATATTAGTAAAATCATATAAACCTAAACCCTTAGCAAGAATGAACAAAAAAGAAGACACAACTAGCAATAACTAATAAAATAGGAGAAATCATTACTAACGATTCTCAAATTCTAAAAGATAATGCTTACAGACATGAAGTTTATAGGGATCATCCACACATCTGTCTTCCCACCAGGAAACCATGATGGAGTAGCTGTTTCCCTCTCTCTGGAGCACAGCTCAATACTGGCACACAGCATATTCTCCATAAACACTGACAAATGACTCTGCTCCTGAAAAACTGAGAAGACCAGGTGCGGAGGTTCACCATTGTTTAGCAGGCTACAGGGCAGTGGTGGTCAATCTACGGCAGGCATGCCGCAGTGGGCTGTTTATCATTTACTTTTCACCATCACTGCTATAGGAAATTAAGTTTTTAGGAACTTCACCCAAATTTACTAATTATTCTGAAGCTGAACTTGTTTAGTTTTTAATAGAAAAGGAAATCAAGACCATGCTACTACAGAAGTCACACTTGGACAGAGTGTACCCACTGATATGCAAATTTACTTTACTAAAGATTAGCTTTGCAAAAGAACGAGAAAGACAACTTTTTCCTAGCCCTCTAGTAATAATTCATAGAGGATCTATATTTCCTCCTGTTCTAAAGGTCCTTTTCTTCTACTCTGAAAATACTTTCTAATATTTTAACCAGTAATTTCCAAGAGAAGAGTTAAGTTTATATCAAAATCACCAGACACTATCCCGAATTCTGATGAGACAAGTGTGCTGGGGGTGGTGTGTGAGCACCACTATTCCAGACCTTTATTTCAACTACTCAAGATGACATACATTCAACAGAGCTATACTAAGTGCCTGGCTCTGTGCTAGACACAGGAGACACAGGGCAAATGTGTCCAACCTCTGGAAGGAGCTCAGAGTTAAATGAAGAGCCAATATGCAAACAACTAACTCCCACAAAGCAGGTTGCTAACCTGTATTCTAACCGTGGAGACCCGCACTGAGAAGTCTTAGTAGGCAATCTCCCAAGTCCTCCGCTAGAAGAAATGCTGTGACTGTACCAAGGTCAACCACTGGCACAGGCACAGGGACTGACAAGGAGGCCCATGTACCATTACATTTGTACACCACTAAGTCCAATACAATGTGACAAATGCTATGAAACAAGTGTAAACAATACTATGGACTGAATGCTTATGTGTCCACCCCCAAATTCCTATGTTGAAATCAAAAGCCCCAAGGAGACAGTATTAGGATGCAGGACTTTCAGGAGGTGATTTAGACTGTGAGGGCAGAGCCCTCAGGCATGGGACAACTGCTCTTACAAAAAAGCAGACTAATCTCTCCTTTCCACCTTGTGAGATTACAACAAGAGAGGTGGGGTGAGGGGTGCCTCTCTAGATGCTTAATCTGCCAAAACCTTGAGGTTGGACTTCCAGATGTCAAGGACCATAAGAAATAAATTTCTATGTATTCTGTTATGTATTCTATGTATTCTGTTAAGCAACCTCAATGGACTAAGATAAACATAATAAAGCACATGAAAGCAGAGAGGAGAGAAGAATTAATACTAGGGATTTAAGATATTTTTCCAAAGAGAAAATACCAGACAGGCCTTAATTTTGCAAAAAACAATACAGCTTATTTCATGACAGACACTATGTAAGCATTTTACACTTTTAATCAGTTTAATCTTACCAACAAACTCTCAGAATGACCATCATTTTCCTAGTTCTACAGGTTTAAAAAAGTGAGATATTAAAATGTTGAGTATCTTGTTCAAAGGTAAATTTGCAGTTGTAGGTGGCAAAACCAAAATTTGAACTCCTTTTGCTTGAATTTTTACACTTTTCTAAAATGCTATCTCTGACAGACACATTACAGAAGCCACAGGGTTAGGTCTGGGTGGAGATGACGGGAGGATGATTGGAAAGGCAGGGGCAGGACTGCGAAGGACTCCAATTCTGCCCAGCCCCAGAGAGTGGAAGGTTTCTCAACAGAGCACCGACTTGATTAGGTCTATGCTCTGGAAAGACAGCTCATGTAGCATCTGCAATTGAGGAAGACCACTCCCTAGCAGAAGAAAAGGGGAAGAGCCGTTGAGTAGTAAGTGTGTTGGCGCCACTGGCAAAAATTAAAAGTGAAAAGACTACACCTCCTGTGTATAAACATGCACAAGTGAAACAAAATGCAAGTTAATGTTACCAAGTTTTGCCTCTCCGAGCTAAGCATTTTCTACATACACAGCAAACATGTAACCCACCTCAAAAGGAACACAGATGAATCCATGGTGCTGTGGCACTGGCAAAACAACTCATTTTTTGTCCTTTTTTTGTACTTCCTGCCTTAGTTTATGTCTAAACTTAAGTGGCCTTATCAGTTTAAAGTGCAAAATAAAAACATGAGTCAGCAAACGGAGATTTCCTTCCCTCTTGTCCGAATACAAATACTTAACACTGGTGAAAAAAAAAAAAAAAAAGCATTTATCCAGTAAAGAACATGCCACGAAGGCTTTAAAAATAACAGAACTGGTGTTCCAACTGCCTTACTTTTACAAATTTACTCTAAGGAAATAATCAAAACTGGAAAGGGAAAAAAGGTTCACACAAATTTCATGAGAGATTTATAATAGAAAAAAAAAGGAAACAACTGGAAAATAGTCAAGTGACATAAATATATATTTTTTCAAAGGAATATTATATAGCCCTTAAAATCATGTTCACAAAACTAGTTTGAAAAAAACATATGCATAACATAAAATGGCATATAAAGCAAAAACAAAATATTAACAGGGCTGCGTTTGGAAGATTAGTAGTGTCTCTTCTACTTTTCAAACATTCTCTGGTGAAAAATTAAAAATGAACATTTTTGAAAAGGCTTCCCATATTTACCAATTACCAAAAAAAAAGAAAAAGAAAAGAAAACCCCTGCCCCAAACCACATTAATTCATGAGCTTAAGGCACATACACATTCTATTAGGAGTGAGACTGGATTTACTGTTCTGGGAGTAATCAAAATGTAGTTTAAAATGGGGTTCTAAATTCAAAAGCTTTTCCTATAGAGTCTCAGCCAAGGAAGGATTTCTACTAGTGCTACCAGAAGTCAAGTAAAAAAAACAAATGCTCTTATAATACTCCTCTTTAAATGTTTAAGTGTGCAACTTATGTGGAATCCCTTATTGTTAAAAAGAAAAAAATCCCCACAATTTAAAAATACTCAACTGCTGTAACTGCCTCTCTCTCTCTCTCTCTCTCTCTCTCTCACACACACACACACACACATATATATGTATGTATATATATATATTTTTTTTTTTTTC